GTGCTAATTTCACTGTGTTGCGTCTTGTTTCCATTGTGTTGTGCTAATTTCCTTGTGTTGTGGCTTGTTTCCGTTGTGTTAAGCTAATTTCATTGTGTTGCGACTTGTTTCCATTGTGTTGAGCTAATTCCGTTGTGTTGCGGCTTGTTTCCGTTGTGTTGAGCTCATTTCGTTGTGTTGCGGCTTGTTTCCGTTGTGTTGAGCTAATTTCGTTGTGTTGCGACTTGTTTCTGTTGTGTTGAACTAATTTTGTTCTGTTGCGGCTTGTTTCCGTTGTGTTGCGACTTGTTTCCGTTGTGTTGAGCTAATTTCGTTGTGCTGTGGAGATTTTGTTGTGTTGTACACTACTGGGCCACCGTAACATCCCCTCTGATATTTTTTCCTTTTTCAATAATCAGATACATGTAAATGTACATCACAATATGAAAGAAAAGATCTGTATTTCGACCTTTAAAACACATTGGAATGAGATACTATGCTAACTGAACACTTATACTTGTTTGTTTATCTTCATCAGTCAGAACGCAATGCTAAAAATTATTAACCAGGTCAAGGGGCAAAAATGATAGATTAGATTAAAATAATACTAATAAGAAGAACAATATTCACTAAGTCTCAGTCAAATATTTTTTATATAATGTCCTCCAAGTTGTAACTGATCATTGTGACAACTAATTTTCTGTACTGTTGTAGCGTCTGGACCAATCAAAAACACAATTTTTCATTTGATTTAACAAATCAGTTATTCATTAGATTAACAAGTCGTCACAGACCCCTCACCCAATAGACTGGGCGCCAGGATGTCTGCGAATGACCACAGGCCACTGGTTACCATGGCAACCACGACACCTTTGCTAGACCAGAGCCATTTACGACCTAATGGAATGTGAGTAGGGAAAATCACTGCCTTTTCCAGAGGAAGAGACACAGTGCACAGTAGAAATGGACTCTTTTCTAATTAATCCATAGGAAAACCTTTCTTTGAATGAACACACATATCCTTCAGGTCATTGTGTATGTTGTCTTTGAGATTTTATACTGTTTTATGCAGGCTTATGATGGAAACACTCATTCCTGTCATCTTGCCTATATGTAATCCTACCATGTTTAGTATCTAGGAATTCGCCTTCTGATGATCGAAACGAGCATATATTATATGTTGGTACATAGGCAATATATTAGTGTTCTTAGAATCATTAGTAATTTCGATTCAAGTTCCATTTGCAAATTACCATGCTAACTGGAGTCCCTTAATCATGCAGATTTATGCTACAAGCTCTGTGTAGAATTGTACAGTAAGAAAGTAATTTCCCTTAACCAGGAAATTAACGTTCTTAGAATTGACAGACAGTTGACCCTGAGAGGTCAAGTAAATATCTACAGCGGATCTAAATATTTATAATTAATTATAACTAGTTATGATTAATTATTCATATTTCCCCATGAGCTGATTCGCTACACTGTTCAGTAGGGATGGATGCCCAATCCGGTTCCAAGATCCACCTACAGGAAGAGTTCAGTTCCAGCCCTGCTCCAACACACCTATGTGTAATTATTAAGTCCTCCTGAAGATCTTAATAGCTGGTTGAGGGGTGTTTGATCAGGGTTGGAGCTAAACTTTGCAGTAAGGTAGATCTCCAGGACTGGGCACACCTGCTGTACACTTTATGAGTTTCTTCTCACATAAAAATCAAATATTTAATGTAAATTTATTTATAAAGTAGCTGTGTAATAGGCAGAATAAACATACAGTCAGCCGTACATCATCATAAAATAGTCACAGGCAGAGCGATTAGGTCTTGAAGTAAACGGACATGGGACAATCAAAACTGATCATTCTACTCGACGTAAGAGCAAAAGAAGAGAAAGACCAAAAAAGCTGATTTTGTCACTCAGCATGGTCTCATAAGCGCTCTCGTCTATTGAGATCAGATGGAGTATTTCCAAGGCAAATATATTCAACAGACATCTAAAGGCAGGTGACGTTTAATCCACCAAGCCCCGAAGAGCAGATGAAAACCCAAAGCCCTCACACAAATCAAACAGAAATGTGTGCTTGTAAAAATGCTATACTGCAGCAAAACTTTTCAAGTTCACAGCATTCATTTACTCAGTCATTACTTTTTTTTGTTTGTTTGTTTTTAAATAAATCCTCTCACACCACTGCTGAGTATCAATTAAGAGGTTTGGAGACATGGTATCATATCTGACTGTTAAGATATTTCATAGGTTAGCTATAAAAGCAAATTTTTTCATTTTTCTCCCTCTAATCTGGATTCTCAAGAGCCTGCAATCTTCTATTTGAGCATAATTTAATAAGAAAAAGCAGGCAATGCTGGCCATCTCTGACAGAATGAGATTAAAATGCCAATTATCCTCCAGAAATGGTGGGGAAAGCACTGCATACAATGGCGGACTATCAAGCTTTTTCTTGAAAAGGACAAAAAATGTGTTTCTATGAATAAAGAAAAAAAAATCCCAGCAGGAGACACAGAAGATTTGGACGGACTGGCCTACTTACTCCTACTCCTCTCTCAAAACAAGCTGAACACCTTACACAAACACATACAGAATCACACAAAGGATTAGAAGTGAAAACAGTAAAAGTTAAATTCTTCAGCGTGGCAGTCAGACTGGTTTATCTACAAGTTAATCTGAATCGTGTGCTTGAGTGGGATGATCCAGCTTGATATGGCAATGCGTGGGAACATTAAAAGTGACCAGAAGAACAGCGTGGGACTGCTTCATGAGGTACAACCCAACCCTCTGGGATATGACTTGTCAAACAGCGTGGACTGTGTTCAAGAGCATCAGCTGTGCTTTCTGACACTACATGCATGCATGCACACATATACGTGTGCAGCAGCAGCACAGGCACGTGGCTGATTCACAAACGTACCCAAACCATTAATGTGGTTACAAGCACAAAGCTTCTTTGTCGGTTTTTCTCTCTCTTGCATGAACGAGGACGCTGCAACATCTTGCTACATAGAAGTGCACACGATTAACGGAACTAAGTTCTCATGACCAGCAACCACAAAAGACACTCATACACAGAAAGACACATAAGAATTTGGGGCACATGATAAAGTGAATGGCCTTGAGATAGGCTCTCTATGTCTACAGTGTCAAATACCCAGCTGCCACTGGGAGAAAGAAAAAGTATGCATGCTTCTGTTAACTAGGAGGAAATGAAACTTTCCTTTGCTGCACACTTCAGAAATCTAAACACAGCTGCAGTCAGAATCAAAACATGACTCTTGACTTTCTGAGAGGCACAATTTTCATCGTAAGCATTTAAAAGATGCACAGGACATTTGGATGGGGGATGGGGTCTAAGAGGTAGAGGCAATATTAAATATATCCCCCAAGCCCTTGGGATTCACAAGGACAAAGACACAACAGATACAGTGGGTACGGAAAGTATTCAGACCCCCTTAAATTTGTCACTCTTTGTTATATTGCAGCCATTTGCTAAAATCATTTAAGTTAATTTTTTTTTCCTCATTAATGTACACACAGCACCCCATATTGACAGAAAAACACAGAATTGTTGACATTTTTGCAGATTTATTAAAAAAAAAAAACTGAAATATCACATGGTCCTAAATATTCAGACCCTTTGCTGACTGTTCTTGAATGGCCCAGCCAGAGCCCTGACTTAAACCCAATTGAGCATCTCTGGAGAGACCTAAAGATGGCTGTCCACCAACGTTTACCATCCAACCTGGCAGAACTGGAGAGGATCTGCAAGGAGGAATGGCGGAGGATCCCCAAATCCAGGTGTGAATAACTTGTTGCATCTTTCCCAAAAAGTCTCATGGCTGTATTAGATCAAAAGGGTGCTTCTACTAAATACTGAGCAAGGGGTCTGAATACTTAGGACCATGTGATATTTCTGTTTTTCTTTTTTAATAAATCTGCAAAAATGTCAACAATTCTGTGTTTTTCTGTCAATATGGGGTGCTGTGTGTACATTAATGAGGAAAAAATATTAACTTAAATGATTTTAGCAAATGGCTGCAATATAACAAAGAGTGAAAAATTTAAGGGGGTCTGAATACTTTCCGTACCCACTGTACCAGAGACCATACAAAACGTACTTCTGAAAACATTTGAGGCCTGGTCCGAAAATCAAACCGAAACACTGACTAGACCAGAAGCATACTAATCTATTTCACAGGTCCATACAAAAATGGATGGGTAGTATATGGGATGTGGAAAACTATACATTTTCAAAACCGACTAGTTGGTGATTTGCCGTATATTTCAGATAGTTTCAGGTTCACTTGACATGTTTCAAAGTGTCATTTACACTAAATATTTTCTTGCGCTTAAAAAGATGCAGACCTGCGTAAGGAAAAGCATGCAACGGAACAGAACACAGAGTGTCAACGTAAGTTTTTAAAAGCGAAACTATATTTAACTTAACACAGCGTCTTAAAAACAATATGCTTAAAAAAATGCGAGACAAGTGCTTTAAGAAATGGTTATCTTTACCGCCCAACTGTCTAGCAGCAGAGTTAAAAATATAAAAACGATAAGAACTAAACATACCGAGTTATTCAGCAAGGATGCATTAAACTGATCACGAGTGACAGTTAAAAACATTTTTTATGTAACAAGAAAAATTCTACTTCAAATAATTGGTGTTCTTAACTTTCTATTCATCCTGAAAAATCCTGAAAAAAGTATCATGGTTTCCATAAAAACCAGCAAAAGTGTTTTTAACGTTGATGATAAGAAAAGTTTCTTGAGCACTAACTAAGCATATCAGAATTTCTGAAGGATCATATGATACTGAAGACTGGAGTAATGGCTGCTGAAAATTCAGCAGGGAAAAAAACATTTTGAAATATATTAAATTAGAACACATTTATTTTGAATTGTAAAAAATATATATTTTTTAAAAATCTAAATACTGAACAGTCACTCTTAGGAAGTGTGGACAGAGGCCAATGTTACTTTAGACAGAGGGAAAATGTAATGCACTAACTCACCTTGTTCGTAGTGCGTGCCATGCAGCGTCCACATCAGCATACAAATTATTCTCCGAAGGCTTCCCTGAGCTTGCCCCGTAACCCGAGTAGTCATAGGAGAACACGTTACAGTTGATGCGGGAGCCAAGGCCGATGTAGAAGCTACTCATCTGACCCAAGTCCACAGCGTTACCGTGGGAAAACAACAAGGTGTAGCGAGCGTTTGGAGAACATCGCACAAACATACAAGCGATTCGGTTCCCTCTAGATGTCCGGGTCATGAAGCACTCAATGGCGTCCTTCTCCCGGGCAGAGTACTGCCAATCCGCACGCTCGGAAAGGTGGAGGGTCCAGCAGCTGCCGCTTTCATCGCACATCAGGGTGTAAGTGGGCTCCGGTGGAAGGAAGGCCAGCTTGGAAGTTATTCTGCTCGGGCACGGCGGACAGCAGAAAAGGCAACATAGCTCACGCAAAGACAGGTGATTCATCCTTCACTTGAGAAGAAGAACACAGCAGATGGGAAAATGAGTGGGGTGGAAACACAAAGTACAATACAAACAAAACAGATGCGTCTTAAAGCGACAGTTCAAAAATTTTAATTCTGCCAATTACTCACCCTTACGTCATTTCAAACCTGTATGACTTTATTCTAAGGAACACAAGAGATGACATTTTGAAAAATGTCAGTGTTTTTTGTTCATACAATTCAAGTCAGTGGGGTCCTGTCTGTGTTGTTTTGAACCTCTCTGATTTTCAATGTTTGGACTAACAACTAAAGCATAAAACGTGTTCCACAGAATTATGAATATCATACAGCTTGATGACAAAGGAGTAAATGAAAATTAATTTCCATTTTTGGGCAAACTACATTTTTAAAGGTGAAGCATCAAGAGTGTAATCTGCATATTCAGAGGAGATAGGAGAAAGAACTTAAACTTAACTAAACTAAATTACACATATCACCTTTATTGTCTTAATAAGCACACACACCATATATATGCAAACAGTATTTACCCAAAGAAGACTATAATAGTTTAGTTAAAGATGGGTAAACACGCAGACCTATTAGTTATTCTCCACTGAACTAGACAGTAACATCTAGTGGTCCAATACAATGGTTAAGTAATATGTCCTTGAATTGTTTATGCCCTTTATTTTTTTAAATAACTCAATTTTAAATGTGCATTTTGTTAGGATACAAAATACAATCGAAACAGCATCTAGGGTGAAACTAAACAGATTTCATTAACAAAAATGTTCAATATTCACTCCAGTTCTGCAGCGCAGGCAATAGTTTCTATCTTAGTGCTAATTTGATGTCATTAATAATGACTCTCAGACTTCACCCTTAGGATAGGCTTGACGTGTGTGCTATCATTGATCAGATCACTTTATCTCGGAGTCATGGCAGCTGAAATCACCCTCATTTTTTGGTTTCTGAGAAGACGACTTAAAAATATCCAGTGTTTTACAAATCCGGAAAACGTATCAGTAATCCACATCACTGCTTCCAAATATCCCAAAAAATCTGTCTGGAAAACGCTTCACCTTGATATGAACTCCAAGTAGGTGACATCACATTAGTGTTGTACCAAAAGAACCATTTAATAATTTTTTCAACTAGTAGAGTGAAAAAAACAATGTGAATATGACCCAGATCTGACCCATGATAATCAAATCCCCACCCTCAGTTTTATTAAGCAGGAAACCATCTTGTTGTTTGGGTGTTTTGGACTTCATCACACTGAAGGGAAAGCAAAAGCTAAAAAGCATCCTCACAATATTACATATCACACACGACATCCAAAATGATTGGCTGAGGTTAATATTTTTTCTATTAAAGATCAGAATAGGGGGAAATCAAAAATAAATGGTTATTTCACTCACTAGAAGTTTTTTTTTTTTTTTAAAGATTATTTCTCCCTAAAGTATCAAACAAACACTTGGTCCACATAAATACATAAATATTCAACTAAATATTAGAGACTTGTTTATTATAATAGATGTATCTATAAAACATTTAAGTATTTGATAGCATGATCTACATAGTTATTGAGGTATCAGAGAACGACACTCACCTCAATTGAATCAAAAGTGTTTGCTAACTGAAATAAGTTTAGTTAACATTTTTATTATATTATCTAAGGAGTGTAACAGCCTAATTGAAAAGGCTGAAGCGAGCTATTTGATTAGCATGGTCAGCTAATTAGCTAATTAAAACCTTACTCTACCTGTAGATGCTGAAGACGTTGGTGAAGGCAGAAACGCTTTGATCTGGTGAAGTCACTGTATTAGATGAGTCAAATATGAAATTCCCTTTAACCGATCACACAGTCCACTTAACGTACAGATCAAGAGTCCCTCAAATGCTGCCTCTGGTCCGTCCGATCTTGTCAACATGTGGTCAATGTTTCATGATCCAACGAGATCAAAGACTGGCGGTGTTAATATAAGCGTGACGTTATTAAATGGACCAGAATTTCTAATCTAATCCGTCCGGTACGGGTGATCTCATCTCACACCAACTCGTGCCCAAAGCTGGCTTTCTTCTGATTTTCTTGCGGAATGCCGTCACGATGAACGCTCTAATGACCAATCAGATTAAAAGGAAAGATATGCTCGACCAATCACACGCGTCTTCGCTGCACACGGACGGTGTCGAAAACACAATAACATGTTGATTAACGATTTTACCGTCGTTGATTGTAAACAGAGATAATTATACATTTGTTGAGCTACCAAAAATTAAACATTTTTAACGTTATCTGTGTTTTCTGAAGTTGAACTGAAAAGCATTAGCCAATTGCTATTTACTTCGCTATTTTCGCATTGCCTCAATAGCCACTTTAACGTGTGAAGCCACGCGGTTAAAAAAAAGGTAAATACTAATAGATGTATAAGTGGTAGAAATAGAAAAGAAGAGGTTATAATAACTAGGATGAGACTTGGACACTCGGGATTGAACGTTTCACTGTTGTTCATAACTGGAATACATGGTCTATATGTGGGAATTATGGGGAGAAAGAAACAGTGGAGCATGTAATATATAATTGTACAAGGTATGATGAAGAAAGAAAGGAATTAATATCATATTTAAACAAAAAAGTTAAGGTAAACAAGGATTTTGAATATTTATTAGGATATGATTTTTAATAGAGATAGAGTAGGGTACAGGATATTAATAAAATGCATAAATACTACTGGGTTAAGTGAAAGGATTTAAATATAGAATGCGGATGCTCTATTCTATTCTGGATCTTTAGGAGACCACGGATTTAGTCTGGAGGAGCTGAACACGCAGCGCCAGGTGGAGCCTGGGGAGAAGGAATGGGATGGAGCATCGAATAATTATTTAAGTAGGAATATTTGTGTGTATACACGTGTAAGAATAGGAAAAGCAAAAACAAGGAAGAAATTGATTATAAATAAACCATGACTACATAACAGCAAAAGTAGGTGGCGATATGCACACAGGATGCAACGCGCCTAAAAAACGGAAGAAGAAGAAGAAGCCACGCGGTTTCTTATTTAGGTGTTTTAAATTGTCACTGTGTATATTACGTATAATTTAGCGTTAAAATGAGTTCTCAAACAGGAAATGTTTCCCGATCGCGAGGCCAAAAACACCAGAATGTAACTGCCTTCAAAAATGACAAGTACGGTGCAAGCGCACAAATTAAGGTAAGCGCCTGCTAAAATAAACAGTGTAGAATCAGACTTACATTTTATGTCAGTTTTGTTGTCTCGGTGTTTATATATCCTTTGCGCTGTTTATTGCTTGTGTTTTTGTGTGGATTTGTTTGAATTCTTTCTTTATGATGCTACCAGAAAGCCAAATCAAAGGTTCATGGTGGTCTGTGCCAGCACTGCAAAGATGTGCTAGAGTGGAAAGTCAAGTACAACAAATACAAGCCCCTTACACAGCCACGAAAATGGTGAGATGAGGGGGGATTTAATGCATAGCAACAGATGAAAGGCAAATAAACTCCTCCACAATGAACCCATATCTGAAATGATGTTTCTGTGCCTTTTCTAGTGTAAAGTGTCTTCAGAAAACAGTGAAGGATGCCTATCATATCATATGCAAGCCATGTGCACTAAAGCTGGAGCTTTGTGCAAAATGTGGGAAGAAGGAAGAGATTGCCATTCCGTAAGTAGATTCAGGCCTCTTCCGACTGAACATGTCTGTACAGATATGTGCAAATTAGAAACAATGCACTACTTTAATATAATATATATATTTACATAATGAGAGGATGTTGAAAACATGCCCTGAAATATTTAACTGCTATACTGCATCAATTTAAACTGTTTTCTATTTTAATATATTGTATTTTTTTCCTGTAATGACAAAGCTGAATTTTCAGCAGCCATTACTTCAGTATGTAGTGTTCAGTGTTGGGCAGTAACGCATTACTTAGTAACGCGTTACTGTAATTTGATTACTTTTTTAGTAACGGAGGATATTTAACACATTACAATTTTCAAAATAGTAATTAGAGTATAGTTACAAGCCGAGGTCTCTATATGTTACTGCCGCATTGCTGACAGAATGCAGTGTAATTTGATTACTTTTTTAGTAATGGAGTAATTTAACACATTACAATTTTCAAAATAGTAATTAGAGTATAGTTACAAGCCGAGGTCTCTATATGTTACTGCCGCATTGCTGACAGAATGCAGTGTTATAATCTAGAGATTGTAAAAAGGATGTAGCACACGCACTGTCGAGTCAAGTGCCAGTAGATTAGAGGATATGCTTGATTGGGGAAGGTTAGTATGCATTGACGATGGACAAAATACAAGAATAGATGTTAATCGTGGGCGTGATTCAGCATTAGATTTAACGTTAGTGTCTGATAATTTAGCTGGAAAGTGTGAATGAAATGGAATGAAGCAAAGTACTATAGGAAGTGATCATTTTCCTATTGTTGTTAAAATTGGGGTGGACATAACAAAAGTGGAAGTGGTGAGAAATCCAAGATGGAAGTTTAAGACTGCTGAATGGGGGATTTTTAAAGAATTGTCCAAATAAAATGGCTGAAATTAACTATTTGGATATGGATGTAGATGAGTTAAGTAATTAAATAAGTGATGTACTTAGAAATACAGCAGAGGAGGTAATTGGCAAAAACAAATCTAAAAACAGAAGAAAAGCGGTCCCATGGTGGAATGAAAAATGTAGTGAATTAGTTTGTAACAGAAATAAAGCCCTTAGGAAAGCAAGAAAATCGCTAGTGTTCACTGATGTTATTAATTATAAAAGAGCTCAGGCAATGGTGAGGAGAGAAATTAGAAGAGCAAAGAAAAATTATTGGAGAGAGTTTTGTAATAAAATTGGGGTAGAAATTGAAATGAATGAACTGTGGGGTATGATCAGGAAAATGGGAGGAATTCAGAGGAATACTAGCATTCCGGTGTTAGTTGACAACAACAATATTGCAGTAACTGATAGTGATAAAGCTGAAATATTAGTGGAGACATTTGTTAAGGTTCATAGTGATGCGAATATATCAGAGGATATGACGAAGTACAGGGAACAGTGTGTGATGGATAATGCTCAGATATTTGTAAAAAAGTATCCAGATGGAGGCACACTAGATTCAGATTTCACATTGTATGAGATGAAAAGAGCATTGGTGGGGATTAAACAGACTTCTCCTGGTAAAGATGATATTTGTTATGAGATGATTAAACATTTATCGGATGTGTCATTAAATATGATATTAGGACTCTTTAATATGGTTTGGGAAACAGGGAAGTTGCCTGATGCATGGAAGCACGGGGTTGTGGTGCCGATCGCCAAACCAGGAAAAGATCAATCTCAGACAATCAATTATAGACCAATATCTCTGACTTCCAATATTTGCAAACTTATGGAACGAATGGTTATGAATAGATTGTCATATGTTATTGAGAGCAAGAACCTGTTTCCTGCATATCAGAGTGGATTTCGGGTTATTTGTCCAATTCAATGCATATTGTACGCATTATTATTATTTTTGTTAAATAAACAAAACCACTGGTAAATAAAATGCACCTTAGTATCGATATTTTTTGTTTGAGTATTGATACTTTCGATACTCGCGTCAGTATCGATATATCGATACTTCGGATCGATACGCCCATCCCTACGCAACAGAGCGCGGCGCGGGAGAAGATGGGCGAGTGCTGGTTCGGGCGGGTAGACACTCGTGTGTGTGCGGGATGCGGGAGAATGATTCACGGGACTCCCGCAAAATAGAAATATCTAAAACAAATAAATTGTTTTCATCTATTGCACAAAAGCAACATGAACTAATATAAAATATAAACGTTTAGCAGCGCTCTTTGCTGGCATTCTGCCATGTCAAACCATGCGCGCAGCAGCCGCTTGCTTTAGTTAAAAAATAACCGTGTTCTGTGAATGTTGATGCTTTAATAACAAATATTTATCGGGAGCGTGTATGCTGGGATTTCATAAATTTAATGGAGAAAAAAGTAACGTAAATAATAATGTTACTAATTACTTTTGAAATAAAGTAATCAGAACAGTAACGTGATTACTTTTAAAAGGAGTAATCAGTAATTTGATTACATTTTCAGAGTAACTTGCCCAACACTGGTAGTGTTACATGATCCTTCAGAAATCATTCTAATATGCTGATTTGGTGCTCAATTATTAATAGTAGTTCTTTTTATTATCAATGTAGAAAACAATTTATGATGCTTAATATTTTTGTGAATGCCATGAGACTTTTTCAGGATTCTTTGATGAATAGAAAGTTTAGTAAAGAGCGTTTATTTGAAATATACATCTTTTGTAACATTGGAACAGTGTCTTATAGTAGTAGTGGTAGTATATCAGTGCAGCACATGTGCCATCCTGTGGACATACAAAGTAATGGTAGATTTAATTGTGGCCTCAAGATATTCTATGTGTTCTTTTAGGCTGCTTTTTCACTGCTCTGTTATTCTATTAGCTGTGCATTATTAGAGACACTTCTTTAGTAAGCTGAATTAAACTTATCACTGTCATATATACAGTGGTGTGAAAAAGTGTTGGCCCCCTTCTTGATTTCTTATTTTTTTGCATGTTTGTCACACTTTAATGTTTCAGATCATCAAACAAATTTAAATATTAGTAAAAGATAACACAAGTGAACACAACATGCAGTTTTTAAATGAAGGTTTTTATTATTAAGGGAAAACAAAACCCAAAACTACATGGCCCTGTGTGAAAAAGTGTATGCCCCCTAAACCTAATAACTGGTTCGGCCACCCTTAGCAGCAACAACTGCAATCAAGCGTTTGCAATAAAGAAGCACGGGCCGCTGACGAGGTCCTGTCGTGGGCCTCCTTCTTTGGCGGCCCCCTCCTGGGCTGGCAGGCTGCGTAGCCGTGGCCAGCAGGCGGTCAAACCCGGGCCAGTCTCTCCCGATCAGCACGGGACGGGAAGATCCTTCATGACCCCGACTTCCACCGGCCAGGCGCCGGGAGTGGCCGAAATGGTCACCCTGCGCGCGGGAACTTGTCATGTATCCCCGTGGACACAGGTTATGGGGAGGAAGGCTTTACACTCCGTTCGGGAGGCGAGAATATGCGACTGGACCAGCGTGACCGCACTGCCCGAGTCCAGGATGGCCCGGAACGGCTTTCCATTCACTTTCACTTCTACTCCTGGAGCTCCAACGGGCAGGTCACGGTGCACAATGCAGCCTGCCAGCCAGGTTCGTGCGGGACGTGCGGGGACTTCCATTGGCATGGGCTCATCCCACGGAGAGGGAGCCGCCGGCCTGCTTACTGGTCGCGGGGTGCCCTCCGGCGCGCGCCGCTCCTGGACCACCCTCCGGGGAAACGGCGGCGCTCGCTCCCCAGCATCCCGGTGTTGGGCCGCATCCGCCAGCTCGACAGCCTCCACCAGCTCAGAGGTGGTGGTTGGGTTCCTCATCCCAACTGCCTGTCGGTGAGATCGGGGAAGGGCTCGGAGGAGACGGTCGATCACCACGCGCTCCGCCACCTGTCCAGCCGATGGAGCC